ATCTTATTTCCCCATAGGTTTTTGCTCATCATATTTTTAAAAAAAAAAAACGCTGTTAAGGACATTTCGTAGAAAGAACGTAATATTAACAATGTGTATTCTTTACCTTACATATATTTTCAAAAATGAAGCACATATTATGCATAAACAAACAGTATTCATGAATAACAGAGAAAGATTCAGTGAAGTGTAACGCGAAGTAAAATACACCGGATCCCCTTATTTCGATCTTCCAAAGTGGGCAGTTCGGATTCTCTGGATAATGATGCTACTAGTGTGCTGGATAGGATGTTAGTATGTGACATGATGAGAACCAAAAGTCTCCTGGAATATCCTCAACTCCATGATCCATTGCATAGCTGAAATGAAGTGAACAAGTATTTCTTACCCGATCTAATAAAGGAACAGTCATCGGCTTTACTGTTTGGAGTTTGGCTTAAGTTTTCAGTGACATGGATATAAATTGATGAGCGGAAGATCAAGATTACGTAAAATGGACATGTTTTGGTGAAGTGGTTCGTTCCTCGTTGAACATGTTCTAGTAAGCATATGTGTATCGGGCAGATCTTGTCTAACAAAGCAACACATTTCATGAAAATGATTACTGACAAGCAGTCGTACTTGTGGTCCGTGTTATCCATCAAAATAATTATTATCGCTCATATTCAAGCTTAATGAGCGGGGAGATATTTACATAGTTCGAGGTATTTCTCAATTCGTGTCGCCAGCGATACAGCGGATATTGACACCTTTGGCAGTCAGTCTGTTTATATCGAATTTATCATCTCGTTGCGAACGTATATTTTTAACTAAGACTATCGTTGCCTGAACTACTGAATTATTTCCGTGTCTCTGTCTCCTCTCTATGTCTTTGGTCGTGCATTCTTTCGCATTAATTTTTTTTTTTTCGGTGCAATTTAGGAAAAAACATTTTTTTGCATTGTTGAAATCAATATGGACGAGGTTCATCTAGAAATGTAGGCAGCCTAACATCGATAAGAGAGTGTTCACTGCCAATTGTCATTATTGTGGTTGTCGTCGTTGTTGTTGTTGTTGTTACCATCAGAATTTGTTATTTTATCATCATTTTCTTGTCAGTTTTTTCATGGCAAGTACAGTTTATTAATGTTATCCGGAAACGAAACGCATTCAAAACAATCATACAAAACCCAATGATGAATAAATGTAAGTTTTTTGGTTTTTTTTTTTTGAGTATCTTTTTATTTTTCATTTCGTCAATTTCGTTAATTGCATGAATCTCGAAAATGTACTTTCGTTTTTTTTCTTTTTTTTAAATTTTAAGCGTAGTATTTAATGGTTCTTTAATTTTTTAATATTTAATGTTTACTGATGAAGTAGGTTAGAATCTATGTAAGCTTATGCAAGGGATAATCTACAAAGAAAATGATCATTGTGTGAATCATTGAAGTTATAATTTTTCTAACAATGACTCATAAATTATTCTATTCAGAAGACCAATTTGAGGGATAGACAAAAATTTAAAACTTTAAAGGTTTGCATCATTTGGTCTATTTTGAGAGGCTGATATTGAACTTGTAAGCGATCTGCACGGATCTACTATACTGTAATTGTTGTCCAGGTTGCATGGATCCTGTTATGATGTTATCGGAGATTTGTAAAATTAACCAAATTCTGAAGAAAATATTTCTGTCTTAAAATAGTCCGCTTTTTTTGCTTTCATAATTGATGCCTTTTCTTTTTTTTCTGGAGGCACGTAAGAAAACATTTCGATCGTATTTTAGGTGAAATGTTGCTACTGTTGTCGTTATTGTATCTTCATTGTGTTTTCGGATTTGGTGGAAGACGTGATTCCGCAGAACACATAGAGCAAGCCGCCGAAAAGGTAATTAGGAATGTATTCTATTTTTGGTAGAGAAACTTCTCAACAAAAAAAAAGGATGCAATCGAAAAAAGGTGCTAGAAAAACAATGTTTTTTTATTATGAAACGAAAGTGGTTCATCGTGAAAACAGTTTTATTTTTTAATTTGTAATTTTTTTAAGACTTGCTTTCTGTATATCCTTCACGGAGATTCATGAAACTTTTAATGAAATTGTAAAACTTCTCGTTTTCTTTTTCAGAGGGCATACAGTATTCACCGTATTGATACTTTGATTTTATTGATTTTCGTTGCTTTACTTGTTTTAATTGTTCTTACGGCATGGTTTTTCAAGCATCATCGCCTTAGGTTTATCCATGAAACTGGTCTTACATTGTGTTATGGTTAGCTTTATCTTCATTTTTTTTTTTTTACTCCACAAAATCCCTGTGATCATGTTCCCTCCAAATGAAATATATATTACTCATTTGTTTGTAGGAAAAATTTACTTTTCTATTTGAATGGAAGATATGCTGGATTCTATTTGTTTGCAATCATTCCACCAAACCTGTCAGGCTTCCCATCTTTCTGTTTTTCACTCAGTTTGATTTATTTTGGTTATCTCAGTTTGAGTGATTTATTCCGTTTGATTTAAAACTTAAGACGGAATTAATTTCAGGTTTATTGATTGGCATCTTATTACGTTATACGAATATTGGTGTGATTGAAAGCCAGACGATAGATGTAATGCAGAAGAATAGATCTGCGGTACGCGACCCACCAGATTATTTACGACTTGAGGTTCGGTTATTTAACTCCAAATATGCAAACATTTACAAGAATTCTATGGGCTTTTGTTTTTGATGGCTTTTTTTTTCCCTTAAGCGACTTTTCCTAATGTTACTTCGATATTTTCTTATTACATCCTGTGTTAACAATGACGCTTCACTTCATATAACGCATCATATCAGGAGCTATCGTTTTATTCTGTTGATGATTTCCTTGGCGTTCTTTTTATCCCATTCGAATTCATTATCCCATTCAGTAATCTTTTTATAAATATTCTAATACTTTAGGTTGAGTCAGCAAAAACGCAGAAAGTGCAATTCCATTATGAATTGATGGAAGGTTTTTTTGGCGATAAAGAAAAACAAAGCGAACGACATCTCGAACAAAAAGTATATTTAAATTTTCCTCTAGGCTTGCTGTAATTTATTTATCTGCCACAGTCTTTTTTAAAATCGCTTATTTAACAAACGAAATTTGGTACTTTCAGGCTGTATTTTCCCCGGAAATATTTTTCAACTTACTTCTTCCACCAATTATTTTCAATGCTGGCTATAGCTTGAAAAAAGTACGCAGTTAAAGATTAGCAGATAATTATGATTCGCAATAATTAAAATGGCGCGATTTTTTTGCAATATGTAGAAGTAATTCCGACTTCTTAGCTTAGCTAAAAGCTCTTGCTTAGTAAGGAATAAGGTATGGTATCTTCTGTCCTTTTACGGCATGCATTTAAAAATCACATTAAATGAAGGGAAAAAATCATTTTATGCGATCGGTATTTTTAGCGACATTTTTTTCGGAATATTGGCAGTATCCTAACATTTGCTTTCGTCGGCACAACTATATCAGCTGTAATTTTTGGGTGCGTTCCTCGACATTCTATTATTCATTTGATTTTCAGAATTTGCAGTAAATGAAAAATATTTATGAAAGGCTCGAGTTTTTTACTTTCACATTTTTTCATACTCATCAATTTGTTGTTTTTAGTCTCTATCACACTTTTTTTTAGAATTATGATGCATTCATTCTGTTGGATATTCTCTTCATCATTTACGTTTAAGGAACTTCTTTTTTTCGGCGCTTTGATGTCATCAACCGACCCTGGTAAGTTTTTTTCTACTATGTTGCCATTTTGGAAAGATTCTCTAACAGTAGTAGGTGGGCACTGTGCTGAATTTTCTGATCGTTATTGTGAAATTAAAAAAAAAAAAAAAAAAGTACTTTAAAGGATGTACTGAACAATGTATTAAAATGTGGACCAAAACTTAGCAATTCAAGCAGGCTGTTCCCAAGCGGGTAATTAAGGCTGAGCTAGTTGGTTAAAGTTCTGTAACAAGACGACTCCTGTCTGTGAGCACTTTCATTGTTAGTGCTCACATTCTTCTAGCAGCGAGAGTAGTCATTATTCTGGTTTTATTATTACAGTTTTTACTTTATTACTGTTGTCGTTATTAGTATTGTATTACTGTTAATTACTGCTACTGTTAGGTTTATTAGAAGCATAAGAAGTCGATAAGTACGTTCATCTATTTACTAGTGTAAGATTCGATATATTCAAACTTCTTCAATTGTTACTTCCGAAGTATGGAAGAGGGTAACGTGAGTGATGGTGTAGTGGCAGTGTTTTCAATATGCGGCACATAATAATTCAGGGTGGAGGCTCAGTCGGTGCCTTCATACTTGGTAGCGTGTGCAAGAAGAAAGTACATTGCTGTCTCATTGATTGGCATCATTCTGGATGTTGCTATCTAAAAGCAATGATGTTACAGTAACTGAAAAATTCTATCCGGAGGTATTTTAAAGAATAGAGGGATTTAGGGCCCAGTGAATATAACGTTTAATTTCAAGTTTCAAGAACTGTTTGCGATCTCTTTGTTTCTTTCTTTCACAAAAATCATGTGGGGGGGGGGGGGGGGGAGGATGAAGTCTTTATTTCTTGGGTCATCGATATTTAAGTTAGGCTTACTACAAAAAGCTGCATGCTTGAATATAATGTGTCGTAGTTGATTTTTATAACAGTACTGATTAATTTTTTTTCTGTTCAGGTAGAATGGGACTCTTCTTTATAGTTATATTGTAACTCGTTCTAGTTCTTTTTTAAATGCTTTTCTATTAAGCAATTTTAGTATCAGTACTGGCTGTCTTCCAAGAGATGGAAGTGGAATCAGATCTGTATGCATTGGTTTTTGGTGAAAGTGTGCTGAATGATGCGGTTGCAATTGTTTTGTCAAGGTAATCTACGTTTCATTTGTTGCCAAAAGTTTGATTATTAGGATGCTGCCTCAGTCTCATGTGCAGTATAAACTTTTAACGCGTGAGGAGATCAGCTATGAAATCTAGTATGAGATTAACTTCGTTTCGTTATTATCAGAAATGTCGGATTATTTAAAATAGTACTGTTGTTAATGTCGTGAAGGTTATTAAGGAATACTTTTTGATAGCTGTTAATATCTTAAAAATTGAGTGAATATCTTATTAATTCAGGGATTACCAGTATTCCTTGAATAGTGAACTTGTCAGCAATAATATTTGTCTTCTACAGTAGTTTCTGAAATTATCTGATTTCAGTTCAGTGGATAATTTTGCAGCTTCGGATAAATCGTTCCATTTGAATTCTTTGTTTGCTGCTGCTATTGATTTTTTATCCGTTTTTTTGGCAAGTTTCTTTTTAAGAGTATAATGATTTGTCCAAAATCCTTAAAATTCTTATTATTCTCGAATTCTTATTACCGTTAAATCCTTAAATTCTTATTATTTAAATTCTTTAAATTTTTATTATCGGAAATACGAAGCTTGCAGTTTCTTCGGAAACATCTGTCTCAACCTTTTCTTTTTCGCATTGCATTAGAGATTGGTGTGATTTCATGCTTACTTCAGGATCACTTCTACTGGGTTCAGTTATTGGTTGTGCCACAGCGCTGATCACTAAAATGACTGAAATTAAGGAGTTCCCATTACTCGAAGCTGCTCTTTTCATACTTCTTTCGTATTTATCATTCCTCCTTGCCGAATTTGTCGAACTAACAGGTTTGTATTACCATTATTAGTTGGTCGATTCGATTTGGAAATTAGTAGTTTTATTAGTTAATTAGTACTTATTTACATAATTATATGAATTTCCGTGTTTCTATGCATGTTCATTAGTGTTATAAATGACATTTACATTAGATTAATTAGCAGTTCGCATACTCGTTTTAAGTCAATCTTATATTCGTCGCAAGTTAATCTTATAAGGATAAAAATTTCCCTGAATTTTTCTAAAATTTTGTGCTACTTCAGGAATTGTGGCCGTTCTTTTTTGTGCCATATGTCAGGCTCATTATACTTATAATAATTTGTCGGATGAAGCAAGAACCAGGACAAAGCAGTTTTTTGAGGTATTTGTTACAACAACTAATTGTACTACCAGAAATGTTTTTCGGAAATTATTGTAGGTGAAAAATGATAACTGTATGATGTCAATAGCTGTACGACCTCTTGACTGAAATACTATATCGTATTTCACATTCCAGAATGTTGCGGCATATATTTCAATGCTGGGATGGTCTTTTTTCTGTCCACAAAGTCGGGAGTAGAGCAGTGAGTCGAGCTAAAAAAGGTGTAGAACCCGTATGGTAAAGTCAAGTACTACGGCGACAGTGTTAATTTTTCAGGAAGTTTCATTCTTGATGGAAAGCTTCATCTTCTGTTATATTGGAGTAAGTGTTTTCGTATCACACAGTCAACAATGGAGTATATCCTTTTTTCTTTCCACCCTGGTGAGATATTTTTTGTCTTGTAATAATTGTCCTTTTTGGAATTTTTCTCTTTCTAATGGTGCATGTTTTTATCTATATCACCAAACGATTAATCTGTATAATAAGCAAAATTGCTTTTAATTTGAAAGGTTAATGCTCTGTTTCGTCAGTTATGCTCACTAGGAGGCCAACCAATTTAATTGTTCAGATCGCTTTGATGCTACGGATTAAATCTTTTACCTTGCAGTTTTTTTTTTTCTTTGTGGTATGATATGTTTATAATTCCGAATATTTGTGTTTCATAAGCTTATACACTTCTATATTTTTCACTTATGCATCTTTTGTAGCTTTCTGTGTTTTTATCAAGGGCAGCCCATATCTATCCACTTTCTGCCATGTTAAATATTCACCGAAAACCTAAAATTCCACAGCGATACCAACATATGATGCTTTTTTCGGGTATGATTTCTCTTCTTCTGAAAGAAACGGTGTCGATTTTTGATTATTTATTTTAATTCATTTGTTAAGTAAACTGTCAGCTGAGACTTTTTTCTATATAAAATTAGAATTCATAAACGAAGAAACTGCAAGATTGAATTCTGTAACTCATTTAATTTTTAATTAAAGGATTGCGTGGTGCTATGGCCTTTGCACTTGCATATCGTAATACATCAACAGATAATCGTCAGATTATGGCTACCACAACTAGTATGGTTGTAATCGTAACTGTATTGTTCAACGGTGGCCTTACTTCTTGGTTTACTGAGTATTTGGGTATCAGGTCACTTCGTTTTTGTTTTGTTGAGTAGAATATTTGGGAGGAGTAAAATTTGAATAGAATATCTGGGAAGAAAATGTATGTGTTGTAGAAAATAGATGAGCATAATTGTTTGCTGTTATATATTTGAAGAGATATTTTCTACCGGAATTATCTTTAGACATGGTGTTGATGCTTGTGACGATTCTCAACTGCAGCTGAACCTAGTCAGTACTTCGTTTTTTTCTACGTAAATTCTGTATGACGATTTATGAATGTTTCGAAAGAAAATATTTTTGTGGAAAAAAATTCTAACATGCACATATCTTCCTCATACGAAAAGCATCTTAAACCTGTACTAATTTTTATTATAACGTACATTTTAAATATCGGATGACAGTCATCTTAAGAAATATAGGATGAAGACATGGATACATTATCGCGTGTCAGTGGACAAAATCCATGGGATAAAGCTTTCCTTCCTCGAAAATGGTACAATTTTGATGCTTCGTAAGTGCTTCCGTTTCTTTTTCCTGATACGTGTCATTTTTTTATGAGCCAAATTCTTTGGACGGATTTTTGACCAGCTCTCCAATCATTTTAAAGAGAAATGACAATTATTAAAGTATTTACATATTTTGCTACTTTTTTAGCTATTGATGACCTCTTAATTATAATTATAAAATTATTATTAGACTAATTTGCATCCGTGTTTTTTACTTAATGAAAAGTCGTTTGCAGCTTTATGAAGCCATTCTTAACTAATGCGAATCCAACATTACTGGAGACAATGCCATCATTTATGGCACCATTTGCGAAAATATTTACAACTAGGCAGCAGTTAACAATGGTATATATTGTTGCAATGATAATAACTAACGGGAATAATAATTAACAGTCGAATCTGAAATCAGTTTTACCCAACAGTCCATATATCAGTAATGTCAAGGCAGTAGAATAGTATTTAGTATGGCAGGTGCAGTTCTGATGATAAGTGTTTATCACCGTTAGATTGCAATCATTGCATTTTACTACTGCTGGTATTGCTTAGTTTTTTATAAAATTTTCTTAGTAGTTGAGATTGTTATGGTCGCAATTTTTCTTAATATCTGTGAAAAATTCAGAATATATATTTGTTTCGAACCTATTAAGATGCGTATATTCACATTTTTCTTTTTTTTCTTTTTTTCGTAATGAATAATTCTCTTTAATGATTTTATTTACTTTTTACTTGTTTCAGTATACACGAACAACTAATAATAATGGTTCAGTGAGCAATCAGTCCACATCTAACGACAATCCATTTCTGCGGGTACAATATTATAATTCACTCGATAGAGTAACAATGAATAATAGTTTGTCTGAGTTGTAAAAAAAAAACATGGCTTCGTTCGGTGGTAGAGAGGTAAACCTTCGGACACATCCTTTTTTTACTCCTTCATAAAACATAGCTTCAATACTGGTACTAACACTTTTTTCTTTTGCATTATACTGTTCAGTAGTATTTTGTTGCACAAATTTAATGTGTGATAAATATGCATATCTTCTATGGGTGGTATTTGAATTTTCCAAATTTATTAACTGCAATATTTGGGAGTCAGTAACTCACAATGTTGTATGGACAGAGTGTTTGATTGTTCTTCGGAACCAGGGTACAGTAACTGTTCATAGCAACTGTGACGTATGGTGTTTCGAAGCTTAACAGCCACATGAAAATTTTCTATTTCAAAATCCGGAAATAGAAATTCATCCTAAATGCCAGCACGCGATGGTACCTTTTGCAACTGTCTCGCAATTTGTGGAATAAAGTTTTGTTTATGCATGGAAATTATGTTATACTTGCGGGCTTGCATACATAACTGTAGACTACCACTTTGCAATCCAGTTTTAATCATAACAGCATTTATGGGACATATATTTGTGAATAACTGATTTAGTCCTTTAAATTGGTAATTATTTTCTGGAAATTGACCCCAGCTGAAGTTGATTTATAATATCAAAATATTTCGGATGCAACGAATTGGAGCATTTATAGCAGTCCTGCATAGAATCGTTGGAAAGTATTTGGAAAATCGAAAATTCATTTTATTTCAGCCATTGGAAAATAATGCGACTGCTGATGAAAGAAAATGATTGAAAGATATCTCTAAGAGAGGTAGCAATTATTAACTGAAGTTCTTTTTTGCTGCAGCAGTTTGACCGTCCTTCCTTTTGTGCACTTATTACTTATATATTTTTATTTTCGTTTTAAATTTATCAAAGGCAACCCAATCTTATTCAATTCGATGAGAATTACTTGAGATGATGCGTATCATTATACATGTATGATGTGATACAATTAAGGGTACAAGTACACAATAGAGACGATTTGGCAGCAAAAAATGGACCCAGACGACTCAATATTTAAAAGGTCCTGGAAGAATCCAGAATCTCGAAGTCTCGGATTTTTAAATCTATTACATTATTTTGCTTGCGCTCTGCTTATCATATTTCCTGCAGCTACGGTGACCTGCACCTACGGTGATCATTTGATTATTCCTTCCTTTTTGTATAAAAACACTATTTAATCAATGGTTGCGGCGAAGGAAGCAAAGCAGTTTTAGGACCTCTATAGATCATTCTTTACGAACTGATTTACAACTTATCACGGTTCGAGAACTTTTTTCTGCTGTGAATCTCATTATAATCAAACACTTTTTGACCTTAAAGGAACATATTGTTACTCGGAATTACATACAGGAATAGCAATGCGCGTTTTCAGAAGGGTCCGCATCCGTTGTTCCTCCTGTTCTTTACATTCCAAAGCGTGCATTTCGCTTAATAGTAACAGGACTCTCGACACTTGTTTTGACGGTTCTATGATATATGTACCGACAATAAATATGGGTTCTTTCAAACTCCCTTTTTTGGGTACCTAGTCATTAAGTATTTGTTGTTTATTCCTGCTTTTATCATGTTTTTTTCGTGCGAGCTGTAAACTTAAACTTTTGTTGCTTAAAAAACCGCTCATTTTCAAAATGAGGAAGGCATTAGTCTTTGTAATACATAACACAATAAAATTTTATAAGTTAAAATGCTGCATTTGCTTATGGAAAAACACACAGAAATAATTATGTGGAAGCAGACTCGAGAAACCTTAATATTTAGGTTTCTGGATTCTCCAATTTCTTATACATTAACCTAGTCTAATCACAGTTTAATTGCTTCGTTTCTAGCATCTTCATGACAATCAAAGAATCTAGAAAAGAAAAGCTAATTTATTGACTTTTCAGTTGGTGCTCTTCTCTTTCCAGTTCATTTACTCGACGTCTCAGACGTTCAGCTGCCTCTTTATGTTCACGAGAATGATTTTCATGTTCTTCTATCTCACGTTCCATTTCTTTGCGCAAATTTTTATATTGCAATTGTAACGATTTCAACTGCTCTTTTTCCTGGAAAAAGTTAAATTTCCTTACTGAATAGCGCTTAGTTTACGTGCAACAACTGCCCACTTTTGTGTATATACAAGACGTTCTGTAGAAATATTCACACGATTTGAAGTAGTTTTACGAGTATCGTCAACAAAAGAAAAGGTCGCATGTAGAATCATTTTTGATTAAAAGGCTTTCAAAACAATTCACAGGGTGGAAGCAAGCTAATACGGGGAAGTGAACAGTATACCCTTCAGGAGCAATAAGATAGAATTATCTTTACTAGATTTTTGAAATATTCCTCCTCGCGTGCAGCTTGACGTTTCCCGAAAGCACCACCAGCATCACGTATCGGTCCACCGCTACCACCACCCTAAATACAAATAAACTAAAAAATTGTTTGAAAATAAATATTAAAAATGAAAGAAATCTTTTTTTCTTCTTTCATCCTATCTATAATACGACCAACACCAAAAATAAATCAAAAAAGAAGCAGCTGTGAAGAAATTCCCCTATTATTTACGAAGTATCCTAAAGAACTTTGTCAGCATATTTCTGATACCATGCCCTGGTAAAAATTCCCATCTCTCCCTTGTTCAAAAGAGTAATAAAACAGTAGAAGCGATTAGTTATGAATAACTGTTCACAGGAAAGCGATTCATACACGAAAATTATGCAAAATTAAATTTGTACTAATCGTTAACTAGTTCAGACAACGAAAATAGAAAGGACCTTTCCACTGCCACTTCCGAGATCACCCACTTGATTGAAGCCTCGTTTTATAGACCTGCAAGGAAAATATCGCAAATTCTAATTAATAACTACAACAAAATCAAATTAATGCGACAAAACAATTGAAGCATGGTATTCAATCAACTGTCAGGGGACGAAAACTGGAAACCTGCTAGTAATCTCAAAAAATGTTAATAAAATTCAAAATGCAGTTATACCTTTGTGCACTAATAAACTAAAAGCAGTCTAAGCAGAAGATGGACTACTACTAAAAACACAGACTCACCAATGCATACGTCATATCCATCCTGATGTCAAGTGATCATCTCTAGATGGATTGCAAGAGAAAAACTAAGATGTATCGCATTTTTATGGACGCAGAGGAAGAGGTACGGAATGAACAGGAAGTGAAATAGTTATTTAAAAGATGTAGCATATGTTTGGATTGAATTAAATTTTTTGAAACAATGAAAAAACTTTTTGAATTGAAGAGACTCTCACCGAGAAAGGCCAACGGCGAATCGTGATGAATGCGTGAGTGTCATTGTCTTCACCTGAAATTAAAATCAAATTTTAAATCAATTTAGTAAGTTCTTGAAGATTAACCACAATTAGTCGCGATAATAAAAGAACTAATTGGTTTGAATAACTTGGAATGAAACCAAAAAAAGGCAAGAATCTCATTAAACCATTACAAAACTCTCTGTATCGCTAAAGGAACATCCATTAGGGATAAAACTTAGAATAAATGAATTTATCAATAAGTATATCAGAATGAAGGAAGACAGCCGTAAAACAATTAGGACAATATATCTGATGCTTTTAGATGAGATCGTAGTTTTCAATTCGTCACAATAAGGGTGAGCTGTTAAGAAATGAGACAGGTAAATTGGTGGTTGGGAAAGGCAGGGTGAGGGTAGTATAGGCTTCATTGTTGATATGGGTGAGATTACCCTTACACTTAACATTTCATACCTATTATCCTCATTCTTCATTAAGCTTTGGAAGAGAAAAAACTGCCAAGTGCCAATTCGCGAAGATTTGCGGTGGTCAAGAAGACTTTCATCCAATATTAAAATCTAAACCTTCTCACTTTCTTCCTTTCCATTCTTTTGGAATGAAGAAAGAGGAGGACTTAATATGGAGAAGATATGAAATGACACGTACAATATCATGCAAGAATTATGTATCGTATTCCTTCATTTAATCTCAATAGTTTCTCAAAAAAAAAAACGCGTTATCCAATAATTTGTTTCTCACATCGAAGATGCAGTTAGAAATGATCCGAATCCATATGTATTCCACTTTTTCCATTTTGAAATATAATTCATCGATTGGGGATGATGACCGCTTTCCCATTAATTTTAAATGAAAGGATTAAATTTCAGAAAATTCTTATTATTGCAAACAGATGATTCGCTAAAAGAAGCCAAAAATATAATTGTGGTTCTGACTTGTAACGTTTATGCTGCAAATGCGAAATACTCAGTCTTTGAACAACAAATTTTCTTTTGCGAAAGGGGCGCAAATGTCGATTTGCAGATCTATTGTTTTCTATTATAGGCGCTATTTTTCAGGCCAAAAAAATCCAATCCTTTAAAATTTGTACAAATCTGTGAGCCTTTTTTAGCTAATAGGATAGCACTCAAAGAGAAACGAATTTTTCTTATCATCATTGCTTCCAGGGTTATCTTGACTTGTATATCAAACATTCTGCCTATAGTAAAACGTAGTGGGAGTTTGCTAGTGATCATTAGGAAGCGTTTATCAGATGCACCCACTGATAATGCTGTACTTTGCAACGATAATAAAGCACAGTAGTGTTACTTATTGATACCAAAATGAGTTAGAAAAGTCTTTGCAGGACATGGGATATAGCATTACACATATTACGGAATATTTTGTAAAATGATCGATGATTTCTTGTAAAATGATTTCTTGTAATTTCTTGTAATGATTTCTTGTAAAATTTTCTTGTAATGATTTCTTGTAAAATGATCGCTAATATCCCTTATATTGTTAAGTAATTACAAATACATTACTTTTTTTAAGTGCCATTTGTAGTTATGCTTAACTTCCAAGTTTTTAAATGTAATTAATCTAACAATCGATAATTGGATCAATGAATCACAAATTATAATTTAGTCATATTGAAATCTAATATATTGAATCAATGAATCCATTAGAATTTCCTGCTGCTTGTTCAACTATCCGTATTAATTGAATCAGTGAATAAATAAGCGGAAATTTAAATAATTTTAGCGGTTTACTATAAATCATACATTCGAAAGTACTGGAAAGTTTCCAGTTTTCCGATATCCAAAAATTGCCATACCGGGTGTTCAGACTGTCCAGTAAGTGAGAGGTAATATATATCGAAGATAATATAGATCAAAGAAATACCACCTACCTTTAATCGAATTATTTAAAAAACTAAAATTTTGGAAAATTATGAGGAAATGCTAAATGGGATTTCCTGGTGACAGTATGTAAATTTCACATCGCAAGGATCGTCTTCAATCCATTTCAGTATTATTAAAAATTTTTTTTCCAAAAGCGGTTGGTTAATTTTTTTAACATTGAAATGGTAAGTTTGTTCAATTATAAGTTAATACAAGCATAAAAATTTAATTTGGCCCAAATTTCCTCCTCTTTCTAGCTTGGTTGATTTTTTTTTTTTTTTGCTTAATTAGATTTTTATTAAGTGTGGACTGTTCATATTGCTACTCCTTCTACCGACACTGTTCAGTTTATTTACCTTCGGAACAACGATCTTACTTGTCCATCGAATATGGACTAGAGAGCGACCGCTCATGAAAAAAGCCCAGGATGCTGCTTTCAGACTTTATGATCAGGTTTTCTGGATTCTCTTCATTGTTCACGAAATTTTCCATCGGTAAAAATCAACATGAAGTTTAATTCAACTTTAGCGACAATTACTAAAAAGAAGCAATAAATTTACTTTGCATAATATAAATAAAATTATGAGGAAGATCGATTACCTCGAAAATACAAATTAATAAAAAAAATTAATAATCGATAAATTAACTGGTAATTAATTATCAATCAATGATTAAATAAAATTAACAAATTTTGTTGATAATTAATACGAATCAATTAATTTGCATAGCAAATAAGAAATTATTTGTAGTAGAAACAACGTCTTTTCAGTTGTTTAGCTTTAAATGCCCAACAATAAAATTGAGTTAAGTTAGATTATTCATACAGCTGACTTGAAAAGTTTAAGATATGGGGTCAGTTTGAATGTAGTCCTAAAGTTTTGCACAAGATCATAACTTTTTAGCAAATTTAACTTTCCGAGTAAATTAAATTTTAAAAGTTTCAATAAGTTTTTTTTTATTATCAAGATGTGATATAACCTTTTTAGGTGTTTCAATCGTTAGTCCCAAAAGGACTCAATGATAAATTCTTGAAAGTGGAAGAATCAAAATCGAAAGAAGCATGAAATCAAAATCCTGTTATTAGTCTTTTATTACTCCAATTCAGTTCATCAAAAATTGTATAAATTTTATGCTGCTTGTAGGTTTACTGTAATAGAATAATTCAATTCTTGGTTTCATTCATAATTTTCATCCGGAAATTGTAGAATTCTTCCTGAATATTTTCGTAATATTTTAAAGTAAGGATAAAATGATGGATGGAATTAAAGATGAGTATGGAATTCTTACTGTATCATTTATTGGTTTATTGCGCCAAATGAGATTTGAATTTTTTTTTTTCTCTTTCCTTCTGAAGTATTTTGCGCCTAAAGAACTATTTCTGATATCAATTCTGTAAAGTTGGCTGATTTTTGCAAAAAGTTTAATAATTCGTTTCCTATACATATTAACTGTTAGAAAAAAAACCAAAAAAACGTCTATAAATCATTGATATTATAAAAATATTATTTAAAAAATGACAGAGTTATTAGTAAAAATTATTAAATAAATATATTTATGAATTATTTCATTAATATACAAATGTATCACTTTTGACATTTGTATTTATTATGTTAAAGGATTTTAATGTGTCAGAGAGATTCGAGATGAAAGGTAAGAAGGAAGGTTAGGAAAGAGTTTTAGAAAATGAGATTGGAAGAGGTCAGGGAAGAAAAAGAAATTTGACCCTTACTAGTTTGATAACTTTGACAACAAAAACTGCTGCTAATATTGCTCCCTTCTTCCCTTCTTCTTTTCTCCGGACTGCAGTTGTACTCTTCTCTTCAGCTTCTGTTTACCCTTCTACAGAGACCAAAGAACGGTTAGAGCATAATCTCCTGCCTCTTATCTTTTCAATGGATGAGAATGGAAAGGACAGAACCGCGTTGTTTTGACCATTGGTCACCACATGACCTGGGGGTCAACCCCTCCTCCTCTTCTGCTCGATCGACATTTGTGCACTAAGCCAGCTCATTCAACATTCTTTCTCCCCGTGAGCCTGTTGGTCACTAATTCATTTGGTCCAAAATAAAGTTACCGTTACTCACCACAGACATTCTTCTCAACAACCAATACCTCAACTAAAGAAATGAATTCCTCGTCCATCAATCTACCTGAATAAAATAAATCGATTGATGGTGCTTCAGAATGTGTACCGTGGTTGATGTAGTTAAAATTGTCTCATCACCGGGTGCACATTCGGTCATGCCATCTTTCTATGCTCAATTCACTGTTCCCGAGAAATCCTGATAACACTAACACAAACCTCTAATTTCAGTGAAAAAGCTAAACAGTGTTGGCTTTACCGTACCATTAACATGAAACGTAAAAGAATTTGTATCGCACAGAACCAACACTTGAAATGATCGGACTTAACAGTAAAAACGATAAATTAAATAAAACAGTTGACATATGTTGACATCATTCATGTCTTTCTCCAAAATTAGTCAATTTTTTTACGATCCATAAAATCTCAGAGACGACAATTGTTGACAATCAAATACGGTGAATTAAGCAAAAAAAAAAAAAGTGAAGGCAATCATCCTAACATTGACATCTCATTGAACTTTTCCTAAAACTAATTTTCATTTATTATAGTATCAATTCTTTGGCACCTATAAATAAGCCTAATTTAGGTAAGCGTAATTAGCATATCGTACAGTGAAAAGTGAAGAGATTTTTCGGATGTAATATAACTGGATTTCGAGTGTAATCAATAACCAAATATTTGTTGACAAATTTTATTCGTTATATTTCCTTCAATGAAATTCTTAACTTATAATAATAATCCATAAATACCTAAATTTTGTCGTTGTACATTTCAAGCCATTATATCATTTCTAGTTTGGTTATTTCAAAATATACCCAATTGATTTTTTAAAATTAATGAATTTGATGAAACTCCAATTCATTTGTCATACCGGAAATGATATTTTCGGAAGTGTTTGTCATCACAACTTGCATAGCAATATGTTTATATGACTTCATTTATTTGTTATAGCTTATCTTCTAATTATGTCTTAGTTTTACCGGTTATTTGATCAGAAATGACTAATTCAAGATAATTTGAAACTATTCAATGATATGCATAATGTTTTTTAGTGCCTATCCTCCCTGTATTGATAAATTGGGATAGTGATTACTGATAATAGATTGGGACAGTTATTTCAGTACTAATTTGCTAGTTTCAAAAAATTAAAGTTCGCAAATATAATTTTTGTCTTTTATATTGAAAATCGAAATTATTAGGTATGATTGTTAGGAATTTTGGGAAGAACAAAAACTGTGCTGTGACAATTAAATGTTTTATAGGAAATATTCATTCAAATAGGAATAGTAATTAATATCAGAGGAATTATTAAAATCCAAAAAGAAAATGAGTTATTTTGCCTAGAAGACTTCTTATCTGTCTCTCCTAAAACTCTTTTCATAGAATTAGAATTCAATGGAAATTCCCAAAAATTCGTATAGTTCATTATTCCGCATTTCAGATAATTCATTTGATTACTTTGGAAACAAAGATTTTACCTATACACTTATCTGTTTATTTACTTCCATACTTACACTACTTCTTAGTTCAAATTATTTTTAATTTTAAACAATTCCTTTCAGTATTTTTGAAATATTGTATGAAATGATTTATGATGAGGATAAGTTTCAGTTACAGTTAATTCGTGGCAAAGAAAAATATCTTTCTTTAAAATGATCAGCTAGAAACTAAGTTAAACATAAAAATGCTGAAATTTCAGCATATTCAATATTTTTAGCCTGCGTTAACACTAAAAAGCATATCATATAGATTGAAAAAAGAACTGAAAATTTTACTAAATTTTTGCTTGTAAGAAAATTCTTTATGAATCATTTTATTAATTATACGAATGCATTTCTTTGCCATTTGTATAGGGATCAATTTTTATAAGATTCGAGATGGAATGCAGGAAGGAAGGTTAGGAAAGGAGTTGGGAAGATGAGATTGGATAGAGATCAGGAAAGGAGGGGAAATTTGACCCTTATTAGTTTGGTGACCTTCACAACAAAAACTGCTACCAATGTTGCTCCATCCTCTCTTCTATTTTCCGGACCACAGTTGTACTCTTCCTTTCGGCTTTTGTTTACTCTTCTACAGAGACCAAAGAACGGTTAGAGCATAATCTCCTGTCTCTCATCTTCGCAATAGATGAGAATGGAAAAGACAGAACCGCGTTGTTTTGACCACTGGTCACTACATGACCTCGAGATCAATCCCTCCTCCTCTTCTGCTCGATCGACATTTGTGCACTAAGCCAGCTCATTCAACATTCTTTCTCCCCGTGAGCCTGTTGGTCACTAATTCATTTGGTCCAAAATAAAGTTACCGTTACTCACCACAGACATTCTTCTCAACAACCAATACCTCAACTAAAGAAATGAATTCCTCGTCCACCAATCTACCTGAATGAAATAAATCGATTGATGGTGCTTCAGAATGTGTACCGTGGTTGATGTAGTTAAAATTGTCTCATCACCGGGTGCACATTCGGTCATGCCATCTTTCTATTCTCAATTCACTGTTCCCGAGAAATCCTGATAACACTAACACAAACCTCTAATTTCAGTAAAGGAGCTGAACAGTGTTGGTTTTGTCGAACCATTAACTGAACGTGAAACATTGAAAGTTTTGCATTGCACAGAAAGTTTTTTTTTCCACGTCCAACACTTGAAATGATCGAACTGAACAGCGAAAAGATGAATTAAATCAAACAGTTGACATATGTGTTGACATTATGTCTCTTTCAGGAGAAATATATGATATTAGCATATATCAAACATGTTGTACTAAATAGTCGAACAATCTGGATATTTCCTTTTAGAATTTGTTAATATTCAAGTTTTCTAAGAAGTAATTCTCATTCCGAAATGGAATATAATTTGTAGGTTAAGCATAGATGTACAAACTGTTAACATATCTCAAAGCAATGATCGAATGTCAACCTTTCCGATTCAAATTTTATCAAGTCAGAAATTTCCAAAAGCACATCAAATAACAGAAACCGAATTGTAGGTAGAAGAATCAGGTAGAGTTTCTATTTCGACCAACACCCTTATCTGCACGACCTTTTACCAACTGTTCATTCTTGTCGTTTATTGTCCGCGTTATTTCTGAATCAATTTTAGCTTGCTGTACTGCAGCAGGCTTCTTGGGAGCAATTGTCAATTGATGACCTTTCTTGGGGCCTTGTTTTGTAGATTTCATTTTCTTCTTCTGTTTCACACCACTTGGTAAGGATACTTTTTTCTTCATATTATGCTGCACCATTGTTATATTTATGTATCAAAATTTCAATAAATCTGCAAATGAAAACCAAGTTAAAAATCCGATAACATGAGTAAACCGTACGTAACATATGAATATGCAAGTAAATCATGATATTCTGAAACGTTTTCTGATAAATTGTATCATCTCAACAGTTGACAAATGTGAAATGCAACGAAATGGAACCTTAATAGTAGGCAAAACTTTACACTCCCATGTACAATAATACTTTTGCAAAAACAAATTCCATGTATTTTGAAAAGAAAAAAAAGTAATCGAATGATTTTATTGTTAGCTTTACGTATACTATAAACGCAAAGAAGAAAATTAGAAGAATATTTAGCCATATAAACCAATGTATTGTTTGGAAAAGGCATGAATAGAGGCCGAACTGTGTAAGTTTCCCAAACAAAAATTGCAGTTATCAAACCTGAACTATTTCATTTGATCGCATTGTTACTTTGGATAGGAGTGTGAAATACAGACCAAACAGCATTTGGTAATGTATGCTTCCCTAACAAAAAATATTCACGGAATGATGAAAGCTTCTCATATGTCTAGCAAAACGTCCTTCACATTCGTGAAATTTGCATAAATTGCAGCAATGGATGATTGAGTTGAAAGCGCAGCTGATAATTACGATGAAAAATTGAAACAAAAAGCAGCATAATCATAAACAAGCAATGCAAAGAACAGCTTATGAAGAACTGACATTACTTGACAGGCAACTATCAGTGTATATAATCAAAAACAGCTAAATCTCATAACTGACATAGGATATCTAGCATGGTATTTATACTTTTATCACTTCCAAAACTATTACAAGTAAAGTGTCCAAAGAAAATAATCAAACAAAATGACAAATGGATGTGACGAATTCGGACACATGCCTTCCATCATACGCAAGAAAATACGGACAAACGTGATGCCTAATTTTGATAAGTAATACTGGACCAGATGATCTTCATGATTAGAATCTAAGTTGCATTACACATATTACTCACATGGTGGGAAATTAGCGAATAAAAGGAGTGATTGTATAAGTTCTTTGCAATTCAGAAATTGGCTTTTCAAAATGATTTTCCCAATCAACAGCAATTAGTAGCCGTGAATTCACCGCCTGTTCCACACACCATGGTAAGTATTGTTGCACAAAAGCGTGCCGATGCCTGAAAACACTTTAAGTTACCTTGTAATTATTAAAACTGACGTATTTTTCTGTTGTCTCAAAGTGAATTGAATCCTAGTAACAATTTCTCAAAAGAGCTAAACTTCTCTCTCAGCAAATTAACCGGTCAACCTACTTTGGCCCTAATCTCAAACCACCAAACACACCACCGAGAACACACATCGGTAAACCAAGCTGTATGCCTTCAAAACATTTGACTGCGATCTGAAAATAACACTAACTTTTTAGAAAAAAAAATTTCAAACAGTCAAATATTACCACCATGTAATCCTAAATATTTCAATTACACGAACTGACAAGATAGATATTCAGAATCGTCCGGTGAAGAATAATAAAGATTTAGGTCAAGATTTTTATAGCTTGTATTCTGGTGTGTTGTGCAACTACACCTGCTGAATCCTGGAAGTTTCTTCGTATCTATAGCTTCATAAGGCTTGACATGGCAAAAAAAAAGAAAAGAAAAAAAAATGTGAAATCCTATTTTATAGGTGAAAAGGGACGTTCCCGCAACAAATCAAAACTATTGAGCACCATCTCTCAAATAATACGAAAGTTACCTCTTCGAGCAAATTCGTTTTCATTTGCAAAAGTAAGTGATTGAAATCATGTGTCTCGCGATACCTTTGCATTATGTAAACTAGGTCGTCATCATCAACAAACTAAAACAAAGAATATGGATTTGAAAGTCGTTCGAGCAAGGAAACACAAAAATTTTGCCTCAAATATGGCAGCAACTTATTTCTTCTTTAAAATTTAAAATACTTAAAAGATATCAGAATATCACGATTTCAGACTTCAGAACTAGTGTGATGAAACATGATTAGTGTGACGAATCTCTTTCAGTATCAAAATAGTTTAACAAAATTATCGGTTACCTCGAAGACAATTCACAGTATCAACGTTCAACTATTTATTTCGACTGATTTTGACTGTTAACGGAGCATTGAAACTACCCCAATATAAGTTTATCAGAAAGAAAGTAGTTGCAAAGTTTGGAAGAGAAACCTTAACAGTAGGACGTTCATCTGGAGTAGTATTCAACCTTTCGAGAAATATGGAATATTCTTTGCCAAGTGTTCCGTGAGGAAGCGTTCGGAGGTAACTCAAATCAATGGTCGCACTCGTTATTCTTGGACGATCTCTGCATCAAAAACAACTCAATATCTTTATGTAAAGTGCTTTTTCAATCCATTAAACATAGAGGGTCTGAAGCTCCAGAGATACTCTGAAAGCAGTCAAATGTACGTTCTGAACACTGAAAGGTGTATTTCCTCTTTACTAGACATTATGATGAACTCATCCTTTATGTGAATGTAAACATTGCCAACAATTACAGCTTGTTGAATTGTGAATGGAGACAAGATCAAGCCATCCTCTCTGCCTTCAATCATATTTCCAGAAAGAATTTAAACCTCAAGATTTCTCTACCACATATGTCGCCTTCCATTCTCTGACGAATTCTTTCTAGTATTGGTCGGAAAGCTGTTGTTTCACCCATTGCTGCCACCATATCTACAAATGATCTTCTCATATAGGACTCACTTCAATATACGGTAATGTAAAATATCATTAAAAACATAAGTGTGTTTTATTTAGTAAGAAAAATGAAAAAATAGTGACCTGCTCTTCTGGGATTCATAAGTGCTGTTACTGCTGAGCCGAATGCAAGCAATCCTTTTTGTAACGAAGAAATTGGGATATGAGATGTGTATACAGCCATATTTTCCATCATCATCTGAAAAACAAAAGAAACTATCATATAATTTTTAAGTACGATGCCATTATTTCAAAGTTAACTAGACTTGAAATATTCTGGGACGAAAGATCATGTACTTCAATCCACTTCTTTCTTTATTCTTGACGAAATCAGGTGCAAGTTATCTTGAGGCTTTCCTTAAAGGAAAACTTGCAAAAATTCTGTGCAAATTTTTACACTGTCATCATTTAGTTAACAAATTATGGTTTAGTATTCCAAACAGGCAAATAGATTCTCCCGTAATTAATGCTTTAGATTTGATTAACTCAAAAATAACTGATTTTCGAAAGCTCACCTTACTCGGCGATATCGATTAAATCGATGCCCCTTTTTACTTCCTCACCCTTCTCTTTCAGTATCTCTTCAATATTCTTTGAACCTTTGGACTGAGTAAACCAACCCAAATTATCGGCGATTAAGTGGTAATTCTTGCAACTGTCGCAAGTTACAATAACGACACCTTCCTTATATGCTTTCTCAGAAAGAAATTTTGGACCCTGAAATTTTTTTTGGAGCTTCCCTTTGACAGAAATGTGTCAAGATTAAAACGGCAATTCATTCCATCTATTTTTACTACCTCGGTGTTATACAAAAGGTAATAAATCGTAAACTATGTATAGATTAGATTCTCTGATTATGCAAGTTACTAATTAATTGTTATTAATTAATTAAACAGTCAACAATCACAATCAGTATTTCAGCAAATCGAATCATTTAGAGAATTATTCGCTCTTATGCTTACAACATATTCCGGCATATTCAAACAGGAAATGAATAAATGGACAAAAAAAACTGAGAACATTTACCTGTCGAGTACCGCAAACCCTACAGGTATAAGTCAACGATAGTCTTCCTTGTAAAGAAACACTGGCCAAAAAGGCACGGTGTATAATGCGACTTACACGAAGGCACCGAATCAATGGCGACACCAATAGCATCAATTTTTTTTTCCGTGGTACCAGTAACCTACCTAATGATGCACACCTGAAAATATCGTGAGCCAAAAATTGCCAGTAACAATCATTACTAGTAATGTTGGTAGTTTTTATAGTACTATTAACCTGTAAGGTAATTCATCCATATACATGCATGGCCCAGACCCAAAAGTCCCTTGCATCCTCTCACTTATCTTCTTGTACTACCAGTCCATTTTTACAACTACTTCGCAACTTGTCCACAAACCTCGCGTAACCTTTCTTACTTTTGCGTCTGCGTTCATCCGTTTTTAAATGATACTTGAACAATCTTTTATCGATTTCATTATTCTCTGCTACACTCTTATTTTACACGATGTTTCAATTCAGAGAATGGAATGAGAAATTCTAAAAACAGATTTTTTCTGAATTTTTTTGATTTTTTTTTGATTCTGATTTTTTCCTAAATATCTGAAAAGAAGGAATTAATTTAGTGTCACCAAAACTATCCATTCATCTTTTGTGATCACTGACCAGTGCTGGACATCGACCTATCCATTTCTCACGACACTATCCATTCACATTTCTTATCATGATAAATACATTTAATTTTAAAAAAGACAACATTTCTAAAATTGGACAATCGACTTATTAGAACAGTAATTACTGTTACTCGATTTTGAGTGATTAATTTCTATGATATGATAATCTTCGTGGACAAGAAAATTTCCTGAACTTACGTCAATGGATTGAATGGTAAAAGTCAATGGATTGAACCTTTTTTTTCGATAAAGTAAAAAATTCTGAAGGAAAAAAGGACAATAAAAGAAGAGTGGAAGCTATTTCAGGTTTAATGATTCTTGTCATCCAAAAACATTTTTAGAAAAATTAGTTATATATATATATATATATATATATATTATAATTAATTGCATTCTTTATTATTCCTTAACTAGGCTCAATTTTAAAGTTTTAATGAGTAATTTTAAAAGCAACCGCGGTAATTTCAGCTCTCAAAATGTATATCCTCACTGCTGCGGTTAAAAAGCTCGTATTGGATCTATGTCTCAGGATCTGGTCCATCCATGGGATGAGAACTGGATTCCAAGGCTAATATTGAATTTTCCCTACGTTATCTTGATTAGTTGTGTATTATAGCTAGATTAGCAAATTTACCTTTATTATCCATGTATCTAAGAATTGTGAGAATTTTTTTTTCATAAATTTTCAAACAATAATTTTTCTCAAAATTTAAAAATTTTAGATGACAAAGGTACCAGAAATTTAAAAATTTTTGATGATAAAAGTACCAGAACTTATCATCCTCATCTTCTTACTTTTAACAAAAAGCAATGAGATATTGTGCCACTCTGAAGTTTATCAGTTACAAATAACAACATCACTGATAACTTTCAATGATAATGAAATTATTTCTTCCTTCTTTATATTTAGATTGAAGAAAAACTCTCTAGATTACTTATTGGTGAAGAATAGAATTTCCGAGATTTTATTCAAGATGAGAGAAACGTTAAAAATATTAAAGTTAGAATTGAAATGTTAAAGAAGACAAAAAAAAATGAACAAGAAAGGAAATGTTAAAATGATTTTCAAATTTCAAAGTATTAAAGCTAACCTGGATTCGAATCAAATTCCAGAAGGATTCCCGAATCCAAATTTTGATTTAGTAACTGATAAAATCTGATATAGGTTTGCGTCTTGTTATGATTTTAATGAATAACAAAAACAAAACGATTTGAGATTAGAACCTTACCTATTTCGATCGCCAGGTATAAATATATTTCTACAGTCTTCAGAAAACATTTTAACATACACCTAAAGATTAGTTCTAATTGAAAGCTTAATCATAACTGAAAATATTAAAACCTCATACTTGGTCTTGTCAATATTTAGGTCATCGTCGACAAGATCGTCACTAAATATCATAGCATTTCTACCTGTTATTCTGATAAGGACTGTTTTTCATCTATTTTGTTTGATTTTTAAATTTCACATTATTTAGGACTTTGCAAAAATTGTAACAATTTTCACATTTCTACTTCGTATTTAAGAAATTTTCAATCCTGAAATTAGCTTGTAATTAACTATCATTAATCATTTCCCTCTGCTAATTATCCTTATGTTTTTATCAAAGTTTATTTTTGCTGCTTTATGGAATACATTTCAACATCAAACATTGAAACAAGAATTTCAATCATACCAGTATGAAAACAAATCTGAATTAAGGAAAACAAATTCCGAGAAGCTATAGTTTGCTTGATTGTAATTTTAACGAAGAATACAAACTTCCCAAAATCCTTCAGACTTTTTAAACACCTTCGAAATTTACGGTCTTTTTAATTTTTGGCATATCCTCATACAATTCTTATTGAAACCTGACTGTCTTTTGACTTTTTTCTTCGAAGCTTTTTGCAGCTTAGTAATGCCATCTGCAACTTCTCAATATTACAGTAACGCTTGGATTACGCTTTGGTATGCCCTAACATTGTACCAATGTTAGGATCAGATGCGTCCAGTGCACAACTTACGCTTAAACGCAAGTAAAACCATGAATTCGCCGTGTTTTTTAGGGAACAGAAACCAGTTGGTAAACCTTAATTCCCTAGCTCTTTGCTTTTTGATCCTTTCTTTGCTTTCTAATAGGACTTCGAGTATTATATCCCACACTTGGTCAATTTTGGCGTTTAAATATTCAAGCCCAAAAAACTGGACGAGTAACATAACTAACTTTAAAGTCAGTACAGAACTACTAATTTAAACGCTACCATTTTCGAAATCTATATTAAAATAAAAAATGTTGTGAAAAAAGGACTCCATGTAATGCTTATAACAAAAAAAGCAAAACTTTTAACAACAATTATGCACAATGACTTGAAGTAAACAAGATCTGCTTATTTGAAATGTAAAACAAACTATTCAAAATTCATAAAACATATTCACAAAGAAGACGATAATTCGGCCGTTAAAATTACAATTAAAATTCAGGAGAAGTAGCGGACAAAATTAAATGGGAAGGGAATTCACGTAAAACACATAGACAAATTATACACAATACAAGACTAAAACATTTAAATACAATAGGAATTAAACGTTAAAACTGTGTAATGAAGAGGAAATCCAAATAATTCTAATTAAAGGCAGGCAGTAAAAATGTGCAAAGGACTGGAAGGAGGATTTGGGGGTGGGCATAGGGTGCATTCCATAATTTCTATTCACAAATGCAATTTGACGATTCAGTGAAATAATTCACATGAACGGAGAACGACATGATGGAAGATTCGTCTGCAAAATGTGCTGCTGCAGCAAAAACTGGAGTAGAAGCGTTTCACATGCTCCTAAAATATATAACAGGTATGAACAATAGAAATAATGGCTTTTTTTCAAGAAACTGTATTATTGTAGGCATATTAAAAAGTATAAGCGATGCACGACGGACAATTACTCCAGTATCATGTATCCTTTATGCTATAACGACATTAAAAAAAACCCATAATTTGCCATCATTCTGCACATTGCCTGATTGTCCCAAATCCAATTTATTTAGAATTTCGGAACTTACTGCAGTGGCATAACTGCTGCTGATTACTTGAACGAAGACCGTTGTGATTGTGATTCAGATGATCCAAGACTGGACTGAAGAAAGGAAATGCAGTGACACAGTTCGAAATGTTTCGCATTGGGCTTCCTGGCTTTGTTTTGGTCATCGGTCTATGATTTAGCAAGCCGCGCTGTTTATGCACCTCAGCCCAACACGGTTCGCACAGATACATAAGACAGCAGAGTTCTGGACACAAATATCGAGCATCAGCCAGATTGCACATCTCGCACTGGGCACAGTCCATCAAATATGGCTTTATCTCTATCTAAAATCGCATGCTATAATTGATAAAAAGAAACTAATTCCGCCCCTATTATTTGTTGCTGGAGATACACTTACCAGTATTCCAATAAATTTGAAAGTTCGGTTTTGCAAAAAGTTGGATATCTCAAATGCTTATGATGAGCAATTTTAACATAACCACACACCTAAAAATATTACCCCATACGTATATCACAGATGACTACCTAAGACAGTTTGTTCGCATCTGTTGTCACTCGCAGTGATGAAATACAAGTTATTAACATGAAATTTTAGATTGAATTAATCAAAAACCAATCTGGGGAAAAAATTCGTTTTTTTGTGAAATTCTGGGATTCTACTCTTCTTATCAATTATTTGTTATCCTCTTTATTTCCTTTTTATCTTTTTTTGTCCCTCCTTAATTTTCGATTTATTGTTTCTCGTTCTTTCTTGTCTTTCTCCGTCAATTTACACCTTTCAACTGCCATTTTACCATCATAATAACTAACAAATTTAGAAAAATGGACTCACTTCCTTCACCTGATCAATTGTTTTTAATGTAATCAAACGCATTGCAATCGCCGTAAGATAGGATTCACGACTATCGAAAACCACCTGCGCTGCTCCTTTTGGATACTTCGTTTCAGCATCAACTTCCAACGAAACATATACGACGTCACAAAGTCTGCTAGTTTGCTGAAGCAGCATTGCCAGTTCCGCTGAAATATCGGAAAAATAATATTTCAAATGATTATTCAAAGATCACTTGTGCACCCATGTATTCAAAAAGTATTGGATTTAGAACAAAACAGCATCCCAACTACTCTAACTTCGAGGTTTGAGACTTGATAGAACTCATATTATTTTAAAGAAATAATGAGAGAATTCGTTTAATCTCCTAAAAAAAATTATTTCGACGAGGATAAAAGTGATGGCAACACTGCGCGATTGCAAAGAGATAATGTAATAAAAGTTTTCTTTCTTCCTTGAAATATTCTCCAGCTAATGGCACAATCATTAGAAACGTTGAGTGAATAAAAAAGTCCGAAGAGTACAAGAAATCTATTGCATTTATCAATGCAAAATTAGGAAACTGCAGATGACTTTTACAGAATTATATTTCATCCCAAGCTAAAACAAGCAAGAAGTTACGGATAATTCAACTAACACGCAGTTGTTGTACGCGGTACGCCACCGATGAAAACGGAATATCGGTCAGATATTAGCGGTGCGTCTGTCACACGATACACCTGATCGCGAAGAGCCCAGGGTCTCACTTGTACCTGTAATTTTGCTATTTTCCAGATATTTCTGGCCTCTTAGTTCATCCTTTACCCCTTTACCAATAAATCTCGCTCTTTTGAACTTTATAAGTTGTGAACTAACCATTTTGACGTCTTTCCCGCCATTTTTCAAAACAATATTGAGTTTCCCCTGTTTACGAATGCATCGGCTAACGAGATATTCGACAGAGCGATCGCTAACGAAAACCACAAAAGCGTATCCTAAAAACCTGCTTGCTTGAGACTTCAGAACGTTAACTTGGTGAGCAATCAAACTTTTTGATAACGACTTTCTTCAGGTCGTTAAAATATGCTACAAGCATGAAAAATACACTACTCGCTCGTATAACATGGGATGTGACAACTAATGCACGTTTCGCTTGTCACTGTTAAAAGGAGTTCCAGTTTAACCAAAGTTTTTCCACGCGTATCAAACTTGTGCAAAAAATGCATATTCGGCTTATTTGCACTTGTCCTTGCCCAAACTTCTCATCAACTTCAGACCATACTTTCAAAATATGGTAGACTGCGTCGTAAATGGGAGAAAAATCTGTCAACAAAAGAAAAATCTGTCAATACTGTCGAATATTTGAATAATTTATACCGCATTCTCCTCGTCCTTCCTTCCCTTGTGCATCAAGCTTGCAAATGGCTAATTCGTTCCATTACTGGAAGTTAAGTGAAACCAAAGAGGAAAGGACAATGCGTAGAGAAACATTACAGTTTATTCTGCTTTGTTACTATAAATTTCTTTCAAATTAAGTGCTGGATGAAGCTCTTCCCGTTGGATAGTTGAGACCAGATCTGTTTAACAGATAAACAAATAAACATTAATAATTCATGCAACATAAGCATCAAAGGAAAACGATGAGTGAAGAACTAACCGTTTGGTGGAATATCACTTCCAGTACGCTTGCGATGCGGCCAGTCAACTGTATTTGCTCCAAACTGTTCGAAGAACAAAGAAATTGAATCTAAATACGATAATGGATCATAAAACTTAGCTCAAAAATGATAACGATGCTCACAGATTTGCAATTCTAAAAAATTTCTTATTCAGCCATTAAAAAACGATGAAAGCTGGAATAAATGAAGCATTACTAGCAGTCACATCAGGAGGAAGCCCGCCAATAAACACTTTGCGAGAGAAAATCCCATCTTCTGGAAAACTCTGTGTCACTAGGTCTGGAACTAAAACCTGATTATCGTTGCTGTCACAACTCCAGATGTCCTTCACTTGCGCGATTGTTCCTGGAAATTAATTTATCCCTTCAACTTTGAAATAAGTGTCTGTTTCCAGAAAATTTGGAACAGTATTTTGAACGGATTATTAAGTCTTCTGAATTAAACCTAAGCAATGTAATACTGAGTTGAAATGGTAATGTTCGACTATGCTGAAGTGGGGCAGGTGAAATGTTTTAGAAGTTAAAAAGCAAACTGGGAAAACAATGATCACACAGTACGTCATTTTATTATTCATAATAGATTACATAGTATACCATTCTATTATGAATAATAGAATGATATACTTTTGAATTTTTGAATCGATAGAACGATTTGAAGATATTTTTTTCAAGATATTCTTACTGTGCGCAACTGCACTACTATCAAGTGATGGAGTGTGTTGGAAGTTGTTGGACTTAATGTTCCCCTCAAAAAATATATGAAAATACCTTTACCGTAACCACCAAAACTATCGTTTCCAAAAATGTTGTAGCGATCCGTAGCCGCTGATATGTTTGTTCTTCCAAAATTGCCTTAAGTCAAACAAAGATGTTAAAAATAACTTCACACATTTATACTTGGAAAATTCATTCGAAATTACAACTCCACTTCCGATATCCACTTTTTATCACTTTCAATTTTTGTGATATTTTGATGAAAACAGCTCAATCGTTTTCCATTTTGCTTTTACGAGTACATCCTACAACAAGTTGGTAGTAGGAAAATTTAATGTAAGGAGAAATATGAAAAAATGAAGTACCTGGTATTACACCCTGATCAACACCAGTTGCTGTACTTTTCGTCGTGTCCATTTGGATAACGAATGCTAGTTCCGTGTCAGTACTTTAAAAATAAGTGTAACTAAGTAGTAAACAATTAATTTTGATTAAGAATATTTATGACGAGGAAAAAAGACAAAACCTCTTAAAATTGCTTGATTTTTGGATGCTTAAAATAAGGGATGTTCCGGAAAAAAAAATCTATAAATTTAAATAACAAATTTATAGGGGAAGAAGAAAGTTCTGGCAGTTTCTTTGAAAAATTTCTCTCTCGTCCCGAAAAGCTTGTCAAATTCCATTTAAAAACATTAACTTCCCTTCTTTTACTAGCAATACTGCAGTATCACGTAACGTTTCACGTCACGTCACATCACGTCACGCCTCTTCCATCTTGATAATAATATCCCAACGGTATAAAAATGAATAACTGACAAAATGCATCACTGTCCACTAAGTAACCCACTAAGCTGAACTTCGCCTACGTGCAAAATCTTAAGTCGAGAACAGACACGCCCACAGAATACTGTACAACATACATTTAAGTGAACAGCTAACAGCGTGAGATATATATCACACGTAACACGTGAAAGATCACGCACCACGTCATGTTGACTCCACGCGTTCACACACAACCACTTACCTAACAGCCAGCTGTAAGGAATAAACGTGGTAATTGAAATGATAGCTATTGCTGCCTATTTACTTTCAATATTTCCCGCCAAAAATAACGGAGGTATACTGATGGCTACCCTCTTCTAGAACATTCCATAGAAAAGCCTGGAACTAACTTACCGTCTGTCTTCCTTCAACCGATAACTGTCTATATGCTATACTTACAGTATACTTGCACGTATGCTTATACGTCGTACACGTACGTCCTATACGTATATGTACGTCACAGTACGTCATACACGTACCACACCTTCTAGTAGGTGATAAAATTATGCAAAACTAAAATGTTCACCTAGTTCTTCTCTCAAATACATCTTTCTATTATATATTACTGCAAATTTTCTATCAAAATTGTCTTGCACGAATAAAAAAAAAAACCAAATACATTTCCATAAAAATGAAGCATTGAACATACTTTTTCTAATCTGTTAAAACCTACAAATTTTCAAATTTTTAAAAAATTGTTCAGTCTAATTTGATGTCAAATGTTTAAGAAAAAAGAAATGAAGAAAGCTTCATTGGAGGAACTCTTTTTATATGATTCCTTACAAAGAGATTGATTAAAGTTGTTAAATTGCAACTTATAAATTTCGTATTTATTCCAACAGTATATTCTGATGGCAACATCATACACATTCAGATTACTTCTGTCTACTTCTCATCTTAATATCAATTCATCTATCACATTTGTGTAATAATTCCCACAAAATTTAACTGCGATTTGCATATTTGTTTAATTCCTGATATTTACTTTTTGTTTTTCCCTTAATTGCACGTTCTTTCGATTTTACATTCACTTTCATGAATATTTTCAAACTATAAATGATATATTTATTCGAGATTTCAGATGCGGCAAATCTTATCGAATATATACGAGACATGCAGTTCATGGCTATGAATTATACCATCGAAAAATCTCACGAAATGGCCAACATTAGACAGCTCAAATCAGCTAATGATAACACAGCTAATATATCGACTGAAATACGGTACAATTTTACAGGTGATATCAAAAGGTGATATCTTACATCCCAATTAACAACCATGAATAGGTATTTCAGATACTCGCACAAAGTTATGAATATGTTAAATAACAGTTGGTTGCGGTTATCTCTACTTTCAATGAAATCCTGCAAAAGTTTAACCATGTTTTGGGACTGAAATTTCATGCCGTCATTAGAAGTCATGTGTAGTTTGTGAACTATGTGGGTTAGATGTCACTTTGCTAATTCTGATGGACGCTTAATGAATTGCATAAGCTAGAGTGGGGTGCTGCTGTGCTTTATTTGAAGTTAGATTAGATCATGTTCCATTACTTCTCTTACTTCGTTCTTTCTTTTCTCCCTGTTCCCCTTTTTATGGACTTTTTGTGGACATTTTATCAGTGGTTCAAATATAACGCAAAAAGATTAAAAGGTATGACGTGGAACACATGTAATGTATGTTTATGGTTGCGATTCGACGTGGAATACATGTGATGTATGTTTGTAGTTGTCATCCACATAAATTGTTATTATGGGTGATTGGAGATTGATGATGTTCTGGGAGAGAATAGAGTGATATTTAGAATAGGTAAAAAAGAAGGGGAGATGGTAATCCGTTATTTCGGACAATTCTGAGAAGTTTTATTCCGTCTTTTATGCGCACGGTACGAGATGTTAAGATCACATATCAGGTTAAATCCTTAGATTTAATTTCTTCAGCTCTTCCCAATATTCTAGTGGAATCACAAATAAATAGGAAACATATAAGCTGAAAATAATCTGTGCTGTATTGAGTATTAATAATACAGCTATTACTCGTTGCCAGTGGTTTTTGCTCCGTCGTTGCACTGATAGTTTCATGTGCAAAGAGTTCTATTAAATGTTGATGATATTTAGGAGCAAATTTCGAACTATAACAAGCTTTCTTTGTTTTATGTTCTCTTTGTCAATGTAGACTGCTCTGTCTTGCTTCTATTTAACTTTGTCCAGGTTAAGTTAAAAATCGTTTTTGAAATATCAATTTCAGCATCACTTTATTTCGTGTTATTTTCAGTCAGTACAAATGCCCGCCAAACAACGAATGAGTGTAGCGAATTCAGTCTTCAGCAGGAATGTGTTATCACGAGGCAATGTACAAAAAACTTTAGTAAGTACATTGTATCAATGTATCATTTTATAACGCTGTCTGACTGCTGATTGTCCATCCTGAATCGTCTTGACTCTTCATAGTTTAGGAAAACTTTTTGGCCACTTTTCTTTTTTTTTTTGTCGTATGCATATGTTTACACACACGTGTTCGTTAAAGCTATGGTATTTATCCGAATTCTTCTTACATGTCCACTTTTTTTGCTACTACATATTTGCTTATGCAACTAACAGTTTGAGAAAACCTTGGGGTTTGGTGACGCTAACTGGTATCAATTTGTTTTCGAGGGATTGAATTAATAGGGTGGATTATTCAGTAGATTTTTTATTATAACTATAAGTTATATGAATTAAGGAAACATTTTCAGAAGCCGCAGGAAGATAAATATGCAACAACTCCGTGGTTAATTGGTCTTTTTGTATTTGTTGTTTGTGGTTCCGGTGAGATTTTTGGTATATTTGTCAAGAAATGTTCATTCTTAACTTATCCTTTCCTGTTTTTTCCGAATAGTATGTCGCTAGTCGTTGGTTAATTCTGCAGTTGCTCTATCAGCCTGGTGATGCATTGATTTACTGCATTGATGCATCTTATGCTCTGAATTGTACAATCTTATATTCTAGTCGGTTATCAGTCATACTAAAATGAATTCGCAAAGTGGAGAGGAATTCATTAACTTTTGTTGAGACGTAGGCATCTTAGTGAACAATGTATGTGCTTATTCGTTTATGGTTTTAATTTAAAGCATACGGAGGAAGTGTAAAAGTACTCTTAGCTCTGTTCTGGGTTTCTTCTAATTTACTTTCTTTTCCCACAGTTAACTTCATGAAATCGCTTGCCGTTATTAGTCTAAAGACGAAAAAATAGATCTCACCTGAGTGATGTTGCGCTTTTCTCTTCAAGACGTTTTCTAATGTTCCTGAAATCCAATGATGGTTTCCTAGATAAGGTAAAAGAAAGAGAACAAATGTTTCGCGATTTAAATTGGCCGAAAATGTTGTGTTTTATTGTGCCCAGCAACAGATACATCCTCGTATGAATATGCATTATTTCAATGTTCGGAAAGTTCTAGTAGTTTGTAAAAGTTAGCATGAGTACTTTTGGATTTTAATAGGATTTTATAGAAGGTTATTTTTATTTTTACAGTTAATAATTTCAGCTATATTCGAAATTATCCGATCTGTGAAGATGGGATGGTAATGTGATTGCAAAGAATAAACCTTGTCGTCGTATATATCAATTTAATTTTTTCGCATATTTTTGGAGAGAGCGTCCGTATCTTTTGTTCATTCCTTTACCACTTGATTTTGATTTCTTCCATATTCAAGTAGGTAATGCACTACCAACATTTAAGTTTCCTTTTTGCCTTTTGAAAAGGCTCATTTTACCACATTTCGGGTGGAAGTATATTGGTTTCCTTCATCATATAGTTCGATTCATCGTTTTCTGAATCATGTTTCTTGTCTTATAATCGTAGGGGTTGAGTGAACAGACAGTTTTATGATTGTGTATTGGTATTTAATGATGGATTTGGATGTTATGTTGCCTTATTCATTGTAACTGTTATTGTCTCAATAAACTGTCTCACTCAGTGTTTCCGTGCTTATAACTAAGAAATATGGTGTCATTGGCTGATCCCTTATGCAATTTACTCAGTTTTGAGTTAGAAACCGGGAAATTTCTAGACTAAAGACTTACTGATTTAATTTATTAGGGAAATTATATATCAAAGGGTTGTAATGAAGTTTGAAATGGTAATCTATTTTGCTAAATCTACAAGTTTCCTTTCTTTAGGAAATTTGAAAAGAAACCACACTAATTGGTTCTTACCAGCACAGATGGTAATAGAAATGCAAGATAGCTTGAGCGAAGCAATCCTGGATTAAGGATATATATAAAGGTCTTTTTTATAAAGGTCAATTTCGTAAATTTTAAAATATGAAAGAACATGGCAGGGGAAAGTGTGTGTGCTACGCAAAGGACAGGATTGTTACTTACAAAAGTTGGCGTATTTTCATAAAAGGCTCACTTTCTAGCTAATCTATTAAAAAAGAGGAAAAGTTTACTATTTATTTATTCCTATTCTATTTCAATAATTCATTCGCGTTGATGTATTTTCGTGCAACTGGAGAAGTGCTTTAAATTGTGAATTTTGGAAAAAGTCGAAATTATTGTACGACTTTGTATCATGACTTAAAATGTTGCGCCTTTTTAAGATCGTAGAACGAAATGGAATGAAAAATTCACCTGAAATTTTGAGGGATGCAATGACACAAGTAAAACTGTCTTAAATTAATTCCACTTAAGTTACTTTCATTTTTCAGTTGGAATTTTGTTCCAAATATTATTACCTGAAATAGAGGGACGTGCGACACACACACACACACAGAAGTTGTCGTTTCACAGAAAAATGTCACAAGCAATTTTCATCATTGATAAAAAGGAATGCAAAAAAAGAGTTGAAATAAAGTAATAAGCAATTAATTGTGTAGCTATATTTAATCCAATGAATGACTAATTGTATTTTCTTATTTTATTGACCTATTTAAAAACAAGCAGTATTATATTTTCTGCTCCAGTTGGCAAAAAAGATGTCACATTGTACCAAACGTTTCGATTGTCTTTTTCTTAATTCATTTTAATTTTACGGTGCATTTTATTTTATAACTGTCATTCAAAATGTTGCATTTATTTTGTAGGATTTTAACTAATTGAAAGTTAATTTTTCTTCTCTCTTTGAAACTTTTCCCTTATCAAAATTAAGTAAATATCGATGAATAACTTATCTAACACTGAAAAATTCTAAAAAGATCAATAATTTATATAACATTAATCCATTATCGTTACATTCAGGGATTGATTCAATCACCTGATGATGATTGTAATCGAATGTTTTGTGGAAATAAAAAGGAATTTTTTATTAAATGATTAGATTGTAGTTGAAATATGAAATTGATTGTACTTTTGAAATGAATATGATGTAAGGAGTGGAAATGACAGCCAAACAAATTTCAAGGTCAACCAAATGGATTTAAAGCCATCATGAATGGAAACATTTGAAATGACAAGTACTTTCAAGGAAAAAGAAATTTTTTTTTTTTTTGTAATACACGAGTACGATTAAAAAAGCAATCCTTTTTTCAAGTATATGTCTTTCATTTTAAATTCATTGTTTTTTGAGTTAGTAGTAGTTAGTGTTGGTGATGATGGTGACACTTTCGTATTTTAATTATAAATAAACATGGGTTAAATGAATTTAAAAATTAATTTAAATGAATTAATACCACCCATCAAATCCTCAATCATTTTTATTGCCTATAACCATTTAAAATGATCATATCCTAAAAGTGAAGAAGGCATTTTGGGCGGAACAAAATTATTGAAATTTCTATGATTGATTAATTTTTTTTTTTACGTTTATTAATTATCACTTTATTTACAGAATTATTAAATATAATTCGTTTTTCATTTTCACAGGTAAAATTTGTAACGCAATTAGAAGGAGAAGATGATGGCATTATCACGATTGATTGTTTATTTATGTTACGTAATTGTAAGATTTGATTCAAAGAAAACAAAAGCTTTATTTAAATAGATTTAAAATTATTTAAAAATGGTAAAATGGAAAGAAAAAAATCAGCAATATATTAATTATCATTATTATATGGTGTAATATATGGTGACATGTCAAGTATCAAGTACGTAATACAAAATTTCTTATTAAAATATGACAGGTATGTAAATAATGTAAACTGTTAATTAGTTGTTAGTATGATTTTTGTCCGGAAATAAATTGAATTTATTAAGTGCCTAATTTGCATATTTCTTACTGCGTAATATAGATAATCATTTAAAGCGGATAAATGCCCAAAATGACAATATAATTTCGAATGATTATGCGGAAGTTCGAGTATTGCTAGATCGATATTACGCGATAACGGCACGGAAATATGGCATATACCATGATTACGTAAGTGTATTAATGGTGTAAATACATATAGCATTCATTATTCTTGGTAAATCAAATCCGGAAAAGTAATTGATAACTTAATTCCGGTAAGGTAAACAAAAGAAGTGAGAAATGTAAAGATTGAAATAAAGCTCTTCATCTTTCGAGATAATCATCAGTATATTTTAAGTTTATTATTATTATGATAAAAATTTTTTTGAATTTATGAATTCGTGTTTGTAGGATTCTAAAAAAGTTAGCAAAGATTTGAGAGATATTCCTATTGATGATAAAACGGAAGCAAGCATTAATCGTAAGGAAGGTGTTGTGGGTGATCTATTCGAGAATGATATCCTATTAACATTACCACAAATTAAAGCTTTACTTAATGAGGATATCAAAACCAGTAAGTTATTATTGTCAAATGAAATTTTAGTTTTCTGCAATATTCAAATGTTCAAATCAAATTTGGTTGGAAAAAAAAACAAATTTTTGGGAAGCTTATTTTAAAATTTATAAAAATTAAATTATTCTGTATGCATGTATATATATATATATACCATACACATTATAACTTATTGCTTTTTACAATCTTGGCAACATATAATAGCAATCAGAAAGATCCTATCAATAAGTTTATAATTGAAAATCTTTCAAATTATTTGCTATCTCTTCACGGAAAGATTAAAGATGAATTTAACAAATTCTGGAAGTTTCGATATTTCGTTATCTAACCTAATATCCCTTTCAGCATCTCTTTATTTGCAATAAATCATATTTTTTACATTTCTACCAAAGTGAAATATACTCAACGAAAATAGTAAAAAAAAAAAGTATAGGAAATAATCGGCAAATAATTCGGGAATCGAAGTATGAATGGATGGCAATGCCAATATCGTATTATTTCAGCAGTTCTAATGGTAAATTGAGAATTTAATTCAAATTATTTGCTTAACATATTATCTTTCAATAATGGATTGTTTGAAAAAAATTAAAGGAAGAAATTCTTAAAAAAAAGAGTTTTTTTTTTGAAAATTCAATAAAGAATTTCGATTTAAATTAAACTTTAGAATGAAAGAGAAAAATGATTTACAGTTAAATGGCAAAATTTAATTCGTACCGCTTTGTATCATATCGAAACCGAAACATGCATTCGCTTCAAGGTTCGTACTAAAAAAAAAGAGGAAAAGAAAAAATAATAATACTACTATGAGCAAACTTAAATAAACAATTCAATTGAATAATTTAATTAATTTTAAAATTGAAAATTAAACCCAACCAATTTGCTATTTTGCATTAACGGAATACTTCGTAATGTTTTGTGTAAGTTACAATTTGTTTGAAAATTGGAATTTGATCAAAATTTTTTGAAATTATTTAAAAAAAAATAACGAAAATTTAGGAGAATGGTGGTAACAGGAATCATATATATTTCATACAAGGTAAAGGATGTTGGAGTAATGTTGGTAAAGTTGGCGGTCGACAATTGATATCCATTGGATTTGGATGTGAAGCGGTAAAATTCTTTGAATTTCATCAAATTTTAATCTTTTCACATTTTCATAATTATTATGTCATAAATGAAAATTATAATTGATTGTTATTTTCAATATTATTATTCAATATTTATAATTATAACTTAATATTTATGATTATTAGTTAATATTTATTGTAAATGCAAAATTTCCTATTGCGCTTAATTTTAATTTAGGTTGGTATAGTGGTGCATGAAATGTTACACGCTTTGGGTTTATGGCATGAACAATCACGTACCGATCGTGACAATTACATCTGGATCAATTATGCTAACATTTATCCAGTAATAAATTCTTAATTTCAGTCCAATTCCAGTTTTAATATATTGATGGAAAATTGGTAGCATTGTTCTTTAAGCTTTTTAATTTCAAACAAGTGATATCTTTTATATGAGTAAAAAGAAATTACGAGAAATTGTTCCTTTCCTTAATTACTTCAATTTTCACTCATTCACTTAATCTAATTAGTATAAATTTTAAGGGTACTCAAGGGAATTTTGAAAAGCGAACAATGATAAATATTGATAACATGGGATTATCGTATGATTATGGTTCCCTGATGCATTATGGTCCGAAAGCATTCACAATCAATTATGATAGGTATGAATTACTGTATTATAAAATGTTGTTGAGAATGTGTCGATCAATATTGAGTCATAGTGTGTAGTGGAAATTTATATATATATATATATATATATATTTTTTTTTCTGAACGATCACATCATCTGAACATAATTAATTGTTTTTTTTTTCTAATAAATACACACTTTTTAAAGTATATGATTTGTGCAGAAGTGCAAGAAGCATGACATATTGCAAGATGTAGTCATAAGTTATTACTAAATGATTTAAAGATATACGATTGAGACACGTGATCGTCGATATCAGCAAACAATCGGACAACGAGAAGGAATTTCATTCAAAGATGCAAAATTGATTAATTTACGATACTGTAATGGTATGGATTCAATCAAAATTTGTTTATTGTTATTTATGTTAGTTGAAATAATACAAATTCATGCGTTTCTACAGAATTCCTTTTATTTCTCTCTTATCTAAAAGTGTTTAAGTTTCTGGAAAATCTCAATGAAATTAGGCAGGAATAATTTCAAGTTCTAATTAAAATTTCAAGTTCTAATTTCAGTTTCTAATCTAATTAAGATCAGCTTCACAGTAGTATAAAGTGATACGCAAAAGAAGCAGCTATTTAGTGAGAGATTTTTTGAAGCATTTCAAAAATAAAGTAATTTGGATTTTTTACAGGATTCCTTTTTTTTTTAAAAAAAAAGTCATTGAGAAATTTCACAGAAATAAAAACAGAATAAATAAAATTAAGACTTACGATGTATTTCAGATATCTGTCGATATCGAATAAATTGCTATAACGGTGGATATACGAAATCCAAATAATTGTTATCAGTGCAAATGTCCAACTGGATTAGGTGGAATAAATTGTCTATCAGTGGAAAAAAGCAGTGAGTTTTTTTAATTCTATAAGACATTTTAAGTTTGAAATTTTTAGTTTGTATTATATAAATAAATCACTTACCATATCATATCTTCATCATCAATTTCTTCAACTTATAAGAGCATCATGATTCCTCAGTGAAAGTTATGTATCGATAAATTCATTTATAAACTATTCGCACATGAGATTTTTTTTTTTAGCAAAAATGAATAGTAAAATTTGTTAATACAATTATAATTTACCTTAATGATATATCAAAATTCTTAGAAATACAAAATGACCAACAAAATCTTCCATTTCCTATTTTCATTTTCTATTTTCTCTATTATTTTTTTAAGTGGTATAACTCGTATGCTCCTAAAAAAGGACTCAGCATTGAGTTCAGCGTATTTAATTGGCGACTTAAAATTTCACTTCAAATAATTCCTCTTCTGAAGTTAAGATTCAAAAATTACGAAATAAAATAGATACAGCGCAGAAAGAAGAATTAATGTTCGTAAAATCTCAGGTGTTCAGAAAACTTTTGCATTTCTTAATTTTAACGAGGAAAGTATAAATATGAAGAAAAAAGTTTTCGTCTAATCTCATCTAATCTATAGTCTAGTCTTTAAAAAAAAGGTTTGCTATAATTTTTACTAAATGATTATTTTAGGAACACCTAAATGTGGTGGTGATTTGTTGGCTAACTACGATTATCAAAACATTACAATCATTGGCCTACATGGTAGCATTCATTGTGTTTGGAGAATTAGGGTAAGTTCTGAAGGAAGTTTCAGGTCAGCTTCAGCTAAAACGAATACATGAAATAAAATGCGAATAGATACTATCATTGAAATAATTGGTGAAAAAAAAAAAAGCCTCACCCAATCTTTCATCATAAATTATTGCAATATGAATTAGCAGTTCGATTATTTGAGTGGGAAAAATTGCCGGAAGATACATACAGTAATTTTTCAATGATGATTATTGTAAAAATGATATATTGTAGCAAAAAAAGATTCCTATAGCACTGATATGATATAGTAAAGAAAATAGAATCAATTATACCATACAGTCATCATTGAGCTTTGTGCTCTCAAATCTTTGTCTCATTCAATTTCACTTCATGTAACATCATCGAATTTCATTCGTTATCAATATTATTATCATTCTTTCACGGATGAAATGCTTTCGAAATATCTCAAAAATTAATTATATTTCTTAAATTGTGAACAATTTCAAATCTTTTAAATGCTGATTTAACAATTACATTTAATCAGAATCTCTTGTATTTCGCCATCTTTTTGACAATTTTATCCACAGGTCAATTATCTCTCTAATCCAAAAGATTATCAATTACCTCGCTTACCCAAAGGATTATTAATTATCTCTTTTACTCAAAAGATTATCATTTCCAAGGTGCTTTATTTTACCGAATGATAACCTATACCAAGCTATTTCAATCCATCTTTTATCTCGCATCAATTACCGCCTCTGTCTTGGGCGTTTTTTGTCAGTGTCCTCACTCAATCCTTTGTACTTCATCATTTATTGCAGTCCAAAGCACGAGTGCTCGTATATATTGATGAATTACGATTGCCCTGCAAAGAAACATGTACCAGCTATCTGGAATTGAAATTCAAAGCAGATATGATTCCAACTGGTGAATAATGACCGAATTTATGCTAATATATCAAGAAAATTTCTGATTGTCTTTATCACCTCAATTCATCCCCACAGAAATCCTTATCACCTCAATTTATTCAACAGACATCCTTATCACCTCACTTCATCCCCACAATTCATCCCACATATATCTTTATCACTTCATTCTTTTTCTCGCAGAGAAAAGACATTCAGAGACTTTTTCTTCGAAAATTGAAATTGAATATGTCTAAATGCCTTAACGTCATAATACTTTTTAAGAAGCATTTTCAGTATAAGTTCAAAATTTTTAAAACGACTGAGTTAGAAAGTGTATTAGAGAAATGACCATAGTAAATGTTTACAACAATACATAATAAGCAATTAATTAAGGGTCAAGGCATTGTTGTGGACCATTAAATATAGAAATGATAAGTGAAAAAGACACTTTCATTATCATGTATGTTGCAAATATTCTCAACGATGGTTTCGGTACGTGGGGATTCAAACTGCGCTACAAACTATGCAAGTTTTAAATTCGAAATAGAAAAGAAATGAAACAGCAGCAATAACACCGATAGAAAAATGACAGCAAAGGTAGTAATTAAGCAAAGGTAATCACTCTATGTATCCCACTGTTTCAATTATACACGCGAATCCATACGTGGGAATCCGCAAAAGTATCAAGTACTTATTAACGAATGAAATAGACATGATTAAGGACTAATAATAAACATACAAGAACAAATGAATATACAAAATGGGAAAACCTGGTTCACGTATATATCGAACGTCATGCCATCATGTTGACATACGACTACCAACATATAGCATATAGTAATCATGTAATGGATCACCCATCAGATATTATGATAACAATTGTACGACGTAGAAGATGAAAAAAGACATGATTATTCATTGTGAGATCAATAATTAATTAATTAAAGAAAAGTGAACAATATGTATTAATCAATCATTCAGATGATTTAAATGTTCCAATATCGAAGCCATCACCGCTGCCGCCGCATAAGAAATTAGTAAGTTTGCATTTAGTTGTATTATTTTCATGATATTTGAAATAAATAATATTTTTTGAAAAATTTTAATGAAAATAGAGAAGAGAATTTAAGAAAAAAAAGTACCATTGCAATTTGACCAGAATTTTATTTAAGGTATTGCAGAATGGTTTGCAAGAGTAAAGGTTATTACTCTTCTTAAGGTAATTAATAATATCACGAGCTAATGCGATTTCAGGCTTTCTATTTCATTTCTTAAAAATGATATGGATAATGACTTCCATAAATTAAAAAAAAAGTAACTGATAAGAAGAAATAGATTATCACCACTACAACAACAACAATGATAACAACAACAACAACAACAACAACAACAACAACAACAACAACAACAACAACAACAACAACAACAACAACAACAACAACAACAACAGCAACAACGACAAAAACAACAACAACAGCGATGAAAGCAATAAAAACGACATCAACAACGACAGCACCAAAGAGTATATTTTGTTTAGGAAAATTTTAAATTTCATTAAATCTGATTTTTTGATAAAAATAAAAGTGATCGAAGCTATTACCTAAATAAATGAATAAATAGAAGTGAACTGGGAATTCTTGTGTGTTATCCTAATTAATTTTCGATTATAAATGCGAAAAAACAAAATTTCAATTTTAAGAATTTAAATTAATAATTTAAATGCAAAAAAAAAAAAAACGAATTGAATTATCCAGCAATATCAGCATGGAGTAAATGGGGTATGTGGAGCGCATGTTCAGTAACTTGTGGCGGTTGTGGTAAACAACGGCGTATCCGAGCTTGCTATGGCAAAATTCAGCATTGTCCGTAGGGTTTCCTTTTTTTTTTCCCCTGCACAATATGCTTTTTTTTTAGTGTTTGAAATTATTTCAAATTTTTATACACTTAAAAACCACCAATTAAACATCAAATAGTTGATTAATTAAAAGATTTTATGAGTTTTATTAAGAGAATTTTTTTTTTTCGAAAAAATTTTAGAAAAAATTTTCAATATTTTGTTAAGTTACTGTAACTTTTAAAAATACCTAAAATTGAGAAAAAATTTAGAAATAGCAGTGTAATGTATGTCGGAAGGAAGTAATAGATATGAAATTATACATGAGATAAAATACCGATGGAAAGGTATACGGTTGTCCGATATGCAACAGAAGCTTCTCTCAATGTAGATATTAGTGTTGAACGAAACAATTATTAATGGTAAAAGAAAATATTTAAGAATAACCGGGTAATATATCAAAGATAAATGATTAACCAATCAATCAATCAGTCAGTTATTTACTCATTTGATGAAAATGATTTTCAGAGGAGCAAAAGAAGAAATGAAGGAATGTGGTACAAGGCGATGTCCAAGTTGGACAAGTTTTAATTGTATTGGTCGATTAGTTATGCCGTGTAGTCTTTATGAAAATTTGAATTTTGCCACAGATAAAGGTAAGAAATAATAGTAAAAATGCATAAAAATATAGAAGAATTGCTGATTTTTTGAATGAAATGATATATTTGGAATATTAATTATTTATTTCAAATTATTTTTATTGATTTGCCCATATTTGAAATGAACGTTTTGTGAAAAAAAAAACCATTAAAATTCAATGTTTATATTTGTTTGGTTTTTTGACACAAATCTATCCTCATTTTTCACTTTACAATCTTTTAACTCTAATATATATGAAGTAAGGAATTAAAATTTTTCATCTCACCTAATTTCTCCTTTGCATAAATTAGAAATTAAAAGTAATTTGATAGGGAAAAGAAAATTACACTTCGAAGTTGATTGGATTTTTTGAATTTCTTGAATTTCTTTGCGTTCCTATCATTTTAAATACGATTGATCAGTCAAGCGTGAATTAATTTTTTGCAATTGTTATCATTTCTATAAATGATAACTTAGAATTTCTGATCATTCCGATCATTGTACAATTGTTTATCTCAAGTTTCAAATTCAAATTTTTGACAGATGCTTATATGCCACCCGGTGATAAGTTAGTTATGGATCAGTACAAGTATAAGCAACATGTCAAATCAGCTTTTTCTGGTGAACGACTCTGTGAAAAGTAATTTTATAGAATTTTTTGTTATTTTAAGAATCAGTAATAAAAGAAAAAGTTATTGCTTTTAAAATTTCATATTTCAAATCCAAAAACTATTAATTCATTAGGGAAAAAAAGTGCGAATTAATGAAAATCAATGATCAATATAAATTGGATTTTTACCGCTTACTGTACATGCGAAAACAATTTTAATTTTATTTTTTGGAATAGAAATAAATGATTTTCTCTTTTTTTTTTTTGAAGGTATTTCCATTATTTATGTTCAATGTCAACGTTTACTGTTTATTTGGGTTGGCAAAGTGGAAATAATTGGTTGAAACTGGATAAACGAGGATGCTGTAACAAATATCATTACAATGGAACTGTTTGCATTCCTGATTGATATACTTTCCTTATCAGTATATTATCTATTTTACGGATATTATCCTTTTGAAATTATTGTTATTAACTTTCTGATAACATACTAAAAGTAGAAAAGTGATACTAAAATTTAGAGAAAGTTAAAAAAAAAATTGTTATATAATAATTTATGCAAATTGTTACTATTTAAAAAATCGATGCATTATGCCTTAGCATCATTCTTGTTTTATGCTAATTTCTCAACTTTATTTGTTTTTATGCCATAATTTTCATTTTGATGTATGACATTATAAAGTGCAATTAAAATTAATTAGAGTGATAGGTTGTAATCTAAATTGACTGAAAGGCTATTGTAGGACATTTTTGCTATTAAACTTATTCCGCTATGAATGAAGATATTTGCTCCAGAAATAATTGAAATAAATTTTGAAATTTATGATGAAAAGAAGTTAAGATGGATTTATTATGAAAAATTTAACTATTCCACTAAACATTTCCAATGTCATGTTTGTGTAATAGGTTAAGGAGCAAAACTGCCAAATTTGAATAAAATTGACTAAACCATTAATCATGAAGATAATCAGATAATTTAATATGTAAAAAAGCATTTACCTTGTTCACTTCTAAAATAAATTCTGAGATAAATTTATGACTAATGATATTTTTCGAGTTTGACTCAAAACTCAAAATGAATGCATTATCCAATCAAAAGTATTTCCTCTCATTCCTAACCCAAATATCTTAATATCTTCAGCCTATTTGAATATCATTTACAAGCTAAAGGACATAATTTAATTAATAAAGCATTTATCTTTCCTATATTTGAAATCTGCTGCAAATATTTTAAAACCGTTTCATCTTTCGGCAGTAAAGTTTTGTCAGAACTTGGGAACATTCCCAATAGGTTACAGTATTCTCATTTGATTTTTATATTTTACAATTATAATAAAATTAATATTTTGGATTTGACGTTAAAATCTGTGAAATAAAATAAGCTATATATGATTATACGTGAGCAAATCATCGTATCAAAAATGTAGAATTTTGTTGGAAAACTTTCTACTTGGAAGCAAATTAACCTTAACATTGACATCTGTTTATTTGACATTCTAGAATGGTACTGATAAAATGTTAAGTGTTAAATGTATTCAATCAGTGATTATTTGTTCCTGTACGACTTGTAGTTGAATCATTACGTTTTGGAGGTTTTGAACGTTGCTGATCAACGTTATACGTTTGGATAGGAATATTTCGTGTTGGAGTTATTGGTGCAACATTCTTCTTTCGAGCGCTTACTTCTAGAATACCATTATCTGAAAATTACAATTTTCGCATCTTAATTATGATTATTTTACAACCTTTATCACAATCATTTTTAACTGAATGTGACAATTGTGTCACAATAAGTATATGGAGAGTATTGGGGGAAATGACAGTTCTTATCAATCACTTTTTTTTCTCGTACGCGTCATTTTATGATATAAAGATATACTTCAGTTCGATAATTTCCCCGCTGTTTAATAAGCTTTAGTGGTTTTTGGTTGAAGTTCACAAATTTAAATTTCTATCGAATTGTAAACGAACCCTTTAAGTGAGAAATTAAAGTAGTATCATCGACATCATCAGGTAGCGTGAATCGACGGATGAAGTGTCGTTCAATCGAACCATGCCGATCACGTTGTTGCTTCTGATGTCCTTCAATTGAAAGTTCACCATGGCGTAGACTGACTTTTAAATCACCTGGATGAAACTGTGACACATCCATTTCCATGACAAATTTTTCCGCATCATTTACGATCTGAGAGGAAAAGGACAAATGAAATATTAATTAATTTCTATTCATTTATCAATTATTCATTATCAATCTGAATAGCACTAATAGGAAGCAGAAAGGCGGGCTATCTAGAAATTTTTTCATTTTAATACTCTGCTTTTTAGCTTTGAGCATTGATGAAAACTTTTGCTAAGATGAAATCGATTTTAAAGTTGAAAAAAACGATAAAATTCCCAAGTATCAGTCATACTTCTAAATTATATTTGAAAAATATAAACCTGTCCAACTGAACTGCCAAAATTGTATTGAAATGGTGACACATTCATCGATGAGCCACTCCAGCCAATTCCAAGTTGGCGGTAATGTTGCTCTAAGCCATGGAATAAATTTTCGAACATTCGTCGAACTGTCTCGTTGAATGACATGAAGTCAGCATCACTGAAGCATGACCGATGACCCGAAGGTTGAGCATCACGATGCTGTTCCGGTGGATTCATCAATTACTGATTGTTATTCAAATTTCCAAGTCACTTACGGAACTAAAGCAAATTCCGGAAAATTTATTAGTAAAAAAAAAATTCAAATAAAATTTGGAAGAACTAATTTTATGAATTTTAAAAGGATTTTGCTACCATTAATTTATCCACATTTCTTCAACATTCATCACTATTCACTTGTTCCTTCCACATTACTTCTTATCAGTTATCAGTTAATTTGACTTGTACAATCATTTCCAGGTCTTTTTTTTTTGAAAATTATTTTCAGGAAATATCGATTATAATGGCATGACTTTTTCTTTTTCTTCAAATCTTATTGTTCCAAAATCCTTCATTTCATCATTTAAAATTAATTATTTACCTTCAAGTCAAATGTTAAAATAACCACTCAACCAAGAAGTATTATTAATAAATGAATACTCCAATAACAGTATACTTCCTTTTATTTTCTTATTCAACAAAAATGAAATATGCAATTAATACCATTTTGAATCATACAAATTCTTTTTATTATTAATCGTATCGTTTCAGTGCTTCCACTTTTGCTTCCACTCTACTATTACAGTATCATTCAACGTTTATTGATTCATTTTTTGTTATCCATTGTTATCGGTAACTTCAAATAGAATAAATTTTTTAATCTCTTTTCAAATTTAGTAATGAGGTAGTACAAAGATAACAAAAAAAAAAAATTCAAATAAAATTTGAAAGAAAAAAAAAAAGAAAATATATTCCTGCGATCATATTATCAAATCTATTAGATGCAAAAGCGCCTAGTTGTGATAAAATATATGAAAATTGATCAGATTTGTGTTCATATTCTGAAGATTAAGCAGTAGAATGTTCTCATGATAAATTGTTGTTATCATCTTTTATGATATAAATTTTTGACTTGTGATATGGCTTCGAACTTGATAAGAGTGATTGATAAAGATGAAGAGAGATATGGCTTCTTTTTTTTCCCATCTAATTTAGCAATTTTGATTGATTTCTTTGGTTATTTTTTCAAAGTAATATTATTTTCAAGTAACACAATGTAAATATGATAACGGTCAACAATATTTTCACAAATGTTTACATCTTTCTTTCTTTTATTATCAACAGATGGTACAACAGGCGTTAATTTAATTGATAATTTAGGAATAGAATATCGTATTGATCTTTGATGATTTATAAATTGTATACCTTTTTCTTACTGTAGAATATTATTAAATCGAATTTCAGTTTATGAATGGAAAGGAGATGATACGATCCTTTTGTTTCGATAATTTATTCTACAACTGGGTACTTATCACTTATCACTTGCTAATAAATGTTAACTTATTCTACAACTGGGTACTTATCATTTGTCACTTGCTACTAATGGTATTAAATGTTAACTGAACAATGTTTCATCTGCATGAATAATCATAATTGTAGTGCCTAACTTCATTTTACAGAAATAGATTCTCAGGAGTTGAAATTTTAGACAATCATTTGTCCTCAACTTTCGATTTATAGGCTGTTCTCTTTTTTGGTTTGTCAAGCAATCATTTGCACACTCATCAATATCTAGAATCTATTTCAGTAAATTATATTTTACTAGGAAAAAAAAGAAAAAGAACTAGGAATCAACTTACGAAATTAAAAAAAATTGAAAAAAAACAAACCAATAAGAATGTATGCCAATGATATAATGCGTGATAATG